GGACCATTCGGGACGGTGCCCGGTCCAATACTGAGAGAATATTGACCGGCAATAGAGCATTTTGATTGGTTGATTTTAGTTATTGGCCCCCTGACTGCCCGAGTCGTGTAATAAATAGATGTATAAAGGTTGATGGGATTGATTATTTAAAACATGAATTTGGAGTGTTTATCATGCAGCCTTGATAATCCATTTCAGTTGGTTTTTAATACTTGATTACCACATGACACAGGGTATCTCATTGTGTTATATTCTTGAGCAAGACATTTTACTTTCACCATGCCCCTTTCTACCCAAGAAATAGTACCAAGAAAGCATAGATAGTTGTAGTATTATACAATCATGTATCTGTTTCAGGTTAAAATAGGATTGGGGTTGAAATTATTTCAAGCCATGTGGAAGAAAACAGATAAATAAATACTGATATATCTTCTTTATAGGAGAATACAGAGAAAATGTGTAGAGTAACATTATGACCTAACACAAGATTAAATACCACACATACTAGAAAGTAAACATACTGTAAGAAAAAGATTGCTTGTAAGTAATGTTTGTTTCAAGAATTTAACCCCTATGTCACATATATTTACTTAGCAGTCGTATGTTACTGTGGCTTTGTCTTTTCTTTGCATACAGGAACAAAAAAAAAACCAAAAAGGCCCACTTTAAATGTTTCACAAATGTGTGCACCAACTGTTAAGGTTCTACACTAACCTTGAGGTTTACTGGCAAGGAGGGAAAAAATGGCAGCTGAGGTACTTTCCACAAAAGCACTCAAGCAGAGAAAAAAGATGCTGCAAAATACATAATCAAAAATGGAAAATCCATTACATTCAAAGTCCTTGTGAAAAAAAGTTTTAGAGAAACTAAACAAAACTTTTTAAACAAAAACATCTGTGACAGAGAACTCTGAATTTCTATTATATGTTACCTTTTTCTATCTCTTTTGGCAAATAAGTCAATGAAGAACCAATGAGTTATCAGAGACAAGAATGCCATAAAACCCAAGTACAACCAGTCATATAAATCAGGAGATGATGAGCACTCTAAGCATGCTGTGCCATTGGTGTTAAAACCTCTTGGGCAAGCCTAAAATGAACAGATTTTCAAGCTATTAAAGAGTTATTTCTAAAACAAGCACTGTTATTGTATCAGAACAACACAAACATTTAAAAACCACCAGCCAAAGATGAGTATTCTCAGGTTCTCCCAACATTTCCTGACATATACCTTATTAACCAAGCGCGAGGGCCCTACTGGGAGAATATTGGCCCGAGGTCTTGACAGTATGGACCGAGCGCAGCGAGGTCCATACAAAAAAGACCGAGGGCTGATATTCTTCCAGTATGGTCGCAAGCAAACTTGGTTAATAAGAGATTTATTACACGACTGAAGTTCAAAGGGACATAAGTGCGGTATCATTCGGGACCATTTGGGACCATTCAGGACAGTGCCCGGTCCAATACTTAGAGAATATTGGACCGGCAATTAATAGAGCAATTTGATTGGTTGATTTTAGTTATTTGTCCTCTGACTTCCTGAGTCGTGTAATAAACTGAGTTATTACACCAGTGGTTTATGAGGACAAGAGTGATCATTGCAATTGTATACACTACTTATAAATCAGCAGTAGTGAAACAAAAGCTTGGAAAAATTCATGCTTGTATGAGAGTTAAACTCATGACCTTTGCCATACTGGTGCAGTGCTCTATCAACTGAGCTAACAAGCTGACTGGGAGCTGGTCATTTTGTTGGTTCATAATAAACCTGTAACTGATGAGTAATTGATTGTGAGTACACGTATATGAATATCATATACTTCAACTGTGAGGCCTTTTGCTTTGCTATGACTTTCAAAGGAGTAGCATCCTCTTTGAAGGAAAAGAAGTGCAAAGTGATTTGCATTCCAACAACTAAACTACATGATGCAAGAGTAACATTGTTTTGACATTGATCTACACCAAAAAATATTCTTTGCAAGTAAGTGGGACTTGAAATTTGATCATTGACATTTTGGCACATTCAGAGAAGTGTACCTTTCCACAGTATTCTTAATTTAACTCAGCAAGTGGCCTTCTTCCAGACTCTAATACATCATAAAGACATGCAGAATCTGTATTCACAAAGCATTTTTATTAGTTTTCAGTTTATTAAAGAATCACATTACTTACTCCACAGTCTCCAGTTTTTCCATCATCATCAATAATCCTTCCACAGTATTGCCCAGGGCATGGTTCAAATGCACCTACAATAACAGCATTAAAAATATGTATGTTTTCACTGCTGATTTTATAACACAATAAACATATAGTATTTAATTTTGGAGCGATTCTCCGAGAGTGGGTAAGGAAATATAAACTCATTTCATAGTTTGGATCTGATGATATCACGATTTTTTCACCATATCAAGACTATCTAAGATTTCCTTACCTTCTGTGTCCCCTTGTAATAACGAAAACAAAGTCAGTGACAAAAGAACACAAAGCAGACGTCTATCACTCATGCTAAATATTCACGAATACTTGATTTGAGTCCTGTTCAAATTGCATCTTTCTCAGCCCCTCGATTCCCACCTTCTGCACTAGAACTTAAGAGGCGCTTTTCTGAAGTCTTTAAAGGCCGAAACTGTCCGAAAAAGTCTGCAGTGGAATAGTTTTCACTTCACGTAAGACATTTTCGACTCAACAACTCAAGACAACAACCACTAGTTGCTTGGTAACCTAGCCTCTTTTTGCGAGAGCGCGTGATCCGCGCAGGAGATTTATTTCCGGTAAATCGGTTTTCCATCAGGTTGGGATTGTCATCTGGTAACACGATAAGCAAAGAAATGAAGCAGTTCTATCAAATGACAAGCTTCACAACCACTACCTGCATGAAACGCGCAAACGAAGCAAAGGTTTACGAAAGGTAAGATTTCCAATTCTCTGTGCTTCAACCTCGTATTTTTTTTAAGCTTATGGCAGCACAACATAGCAAGTGGTATCCAGGGAAAAGTTACTCGCAGTGTGATGTAGATATTTGATTATTCTTTCACTTTAATTTCTCTTTGATCTGGATCACAGGTTCACATCACAAACCTCCCACATACAACAACCCTCACAACATGTCCCGTAAATTGCCTTTGTCATCATCCACATTGGTGATTTTCAGCCTTTAACTTCGGCTAGAAAAATATAATGTGAAAGGGTGATCAAAGGAACGCATATCATGTGCACTCTTACGGATCACAAGTAGTCAGTTATAACTTTGTTGTAGTTGTCGGATGTGTCTATCAGCATTATACGTAGATAATGCGAAATTTTAATCCATTTATTGATTTACGTAGCCATAAAATACTGAATACGTTGCTGAATACGGCAACGCTTGCTACGTGTAAGAGAACGGGGAAAAGTCTTTGCGACTGTTTACTTACTGTGATGAAATAGTCACTGAATTTGTTTAAATTTCTGTTGACAAATGTATTTTTTTCTGAGCGCTTCACGTAACTGACGTTTCCCTTTCTTTGCACTAAACTTCGTAGGGCGGTAAACGGCAATTATTGGAGAAATGACCGTAAACTGAGCATTATGAATCAAGTTTTGAACGCAGTCATTTTCAGTTGTAATACAAAGCTAGTTTACAGAATTAAGAGGAGGCTACATTTCCTAAATCATACTGGATTTAAAATTATTTGAGATCTATTTCTGCTGTGTGACAAAATTTTATAAATTTGTGTTGTGCTCGTGCTATGTGCGCACTCTTTCTTTCGAAAAGGTAATGAACACAGAGAAATGTCTCAGAAAACCAACGAGGCTTTGCTCCCATATCAGTGGAAACTTGCGCGCGAGCTAGCACGTTATAAACGAACTCGTCACGCTCAAAGTAGATTATGGCGTGACACGTAGTCTAAAACACGCTTAAATGAAACTGAAAGAAACAGCCAAAGTGAAAGCGGTCAGGGAAAGAATTGGTGACATTTACTTCAAAACACGTCAACAATTTTGGTCGGCAGACTTAACAGAAATGGTCTTATTTTGATTACCCGGTCGATTGGCAAAGCTTTCTTTGCCAGTTTCATTTTACACAGGGGTACAGAGAGGTTGCAAGCGTCTCACATGCATGGAGACCAACTTTTCCGGGCTTTCTGAGAAGGGAAGTGTTTTGAGTCATTCCCGTATAACACTGTTTGTACAATAAACAGAGTAACCAATAAATACATTGTTATATTTTCCTGTTTTTGACTACTTTCAATACTTAGATTGAAAATGAATATATTTAAACGTTCCGTGTATCATCACCAGTGTGTCTTGCGTCACCGGCCCACCGGAAGACAAAGCAGGAAGTTATAACTATGGGAGGGGAAAAAACTTTATTTTGAGGACACTGTATATAAAGAGCTCACTTTGAAAACTGTGAATAATTTGAACAAGGGAGTGTCCTCAGAGGTAAGCGCAGTTTATATTTGTTGTTGTTTTTGTATGATAATTTTCTTATAGTATTCTATTCTGAATGTACCATTAATTCACAAATGAAAGTGTTCCCCTCGTAAATCGAAAAAGTGAACGTTCGAAGATTAACTTTGGTAATATTTCGTAAGAATATGATCTTTTAATTCTTGCTTTAGTTCTTGTAATCTTTCCGGGAGTGGTTTGAAATAATTCAAATGGAAAGCAATTAGTTTACGATCTTGTTTACTCGATGCAGCATATGCATTATTGTTGATTGTGCCAAGGGTCAAGATGGCTCAATTTGAATATTTGCTGAGTTCTGTTTCACGTTTCATACGGATTAAGGCGAAACAAGTGGCTGCCTTTGTCGAAGAAACTTTGTCTGTGGATCTATATTCGCACGCGGATTTCACAGAAGGATTGAGTTTATTCTACAGAATGAAATTGCGAAACTTGTTTTGGTTTCTCTGCCTTAACTGTCTTCAGGACGAACTATTGCTGTGTTTTCCCTAAATCACAGTTAAAACTCTTAGAGACTATTGAATCCTTTTCTTTCTCTCAAAAAATCTGGGGCTTGCTCTATTTCCATGGCGAAGGAAAGAGCATTACTATTCGGCATGTGAGCTGAGCATTGTGAACTTGTTCAACTTCAATTTATTGTGAAAGCTTTACATTTTGTGGCTTTACGACACTCCAGTAGTTTTAGCAGACTGATGCAATTGGCAGAAAATCCGCTTGACTTACGGAAACGTTGAAAATTCCGCTTTCATGAGCGAGGGGTGGGACTTCCGTCCATTTGACCAGCAGGACGCGTGACATGTAACGCAAAGGTGTTGATTTTTATTTTTTTTAGTTATTTTTTTCGTTTGACAGTTCTGCTGATGATTAAAATAACCAGATCTGGAAATAAGCACAACTTTTGCCACAATTAAAACAGATATATGCAATTTATATTGATTAAGTATAGCTAATTGGTGTTACGCAGGTTTAAACTAGGGAGCTCTCCTATGATTGAATTAGCAATTATTAATTTGATTTTTATTCTTTTTATTAATTTTTTTCGTTTGACAGTTCTGCTGATGATTAAAATAACCAGATCTGGAAATAAGCATAACTTTTCCCACAATTAAAACAGATACATGCAATTTATATTGATTAAGATTATAGCTAATTGGAATTTTCCCATATCCAACTTCAAGGTAATTACTGCAGCATCATGCCTGAGGAAAAGACCGGCCTTGCTTTCTCCGGTGGTGGAATTCGTTCGGCTGCATTGAGCTCCGGTGTGTTGCGAAGGCTTCTACACCGTAAAGTTAAAATTGATTACGTCAGCTGCGTTTCCGGAGGAAATTATACAGCGGCTTCTTATTTGGATTGGAAATACAGAAACAACCAAGAAGATCATCCGAAATGGCATAAAGAATTTTTCGAGCACATGCGAAGCAGAGTTGGTTACATTTGCAATTGGAAATACCCATTGCATGGCATTTTAGAGAGCATCATACTGGTTTTTCTACTGATCACAGTTAATCTTCTCATTCCCTGCATCATGTATAGCGCTGGTGCTATTCCATCTGCCTTCGTCATAGATTACGTGTTTGGTAAGATCATGCGTAAAGGCTTCAACTGCACCGATGTTCCTCAAATTTCAAAAGGACTGAACACTACAGAGAGACGTTGCACTCGACAATTCGAGATTGACGACCTCGAGGTGCGCGAGCAACTTTACCTGTTCTTTTTTCTGTTCCTCGCATTCTTTGTGTCCCACGTCATCAAGAGTATCGCTTCATTAAGGATTCGCTCGATTGCGCATTACTTCAAAATCTTATCCGGGTTGCTGCTCGCTTTGACTTACATCCCCTGGTTAATGCAGGAGTTTACTGAAGTTCTTCCCAAGTGGCTGAAAGTGCTAATAGTCGCTCTAAGCGTCTTTTTCTGGCTTGGATTTCCACCGTTGCGAGACAAAGCATGCCTAGCGATAGTGGTGTACATGTATGCATTTTTTGTGAGGTGGCGAGTGTATGAGACCAGTATTGTGGGTATCGTGTACGAAGAGCAACTTTTCTACACTCTCCTCCTTATTTCTGGATTTTGCTTATGGTTAAATCCGTTCGTTGGAATGTTTAGCACTACAGCAGTTTTTACATACTACAAGTAAGTGGCCTTAACCTTTTTCAGTCAAACCTGTACTAAGCGGTCATTCTCTTAATACAGGTTCCAGAGAATAGGGGTATTTTACGAAACGATAAAAATTGGCGTTTTATTCCATAACTGAACATTTAATGTACAAAAACTCACTTTTGAATACTACTAACATCGATTTCGGGAGATAAAAATGAAAGAAATTTTACTTGAAATATTATGCTTAGTGTTTTGCTTAAACATGCTCTAAGGCTTCATTTTTTTGTTAAATTTATTTCTTCATGGTAGCCGATGTTTGTCTTCTTCTTCAAATGTAGCACTTTGAAAATAAAAAATCAAGTTAGAGATTGCTTGAATCCTATGGAAATTCAGTTTTCCAGTTCTCTGTTTTTTATTTGTATTCGGTTAAACCCGGTTTTACCCAACATTCTTTGCTGCTGTGAACTGGGTAATAGAGTTCGTTCTTTTGAATTTCAGGTGGAGACTGCAGCAAGCATTTTTTACGAAAGAAAGCGTTGGATTTCTTGGCTGCAACGGAATCAGGTGCCGAGACTTTTTCCCAATACTGTCCCGCTATCGACCCGAGAAGCACGACCCAGCCAAAGAACCTCTAGTCATGGATGACCTGAAGCAAGTCAAACCACAGTACATTAGTAACGTGGCAGTGGATTATTGGCGCAAGAAACCGATTTTAAAAGAGCCGTCCTACGCCATCATGGCTCTGTCGCCGACTGAGAATGAACGAATTGACCATCAGCCTGGGGAGCCTGGTGTGGAAGACAAATTGTGTCCAAAATACGTCAATCAGACGGACGCCATGGTAACTTCTGCCGCTGTAATGGCACTGAGTCCTGAGCAGGAGGAGCCGTTCAGAGATCTACAGATGCTTTTGGGATTTACCCTCCGGAAAGGTATCAGGAGTAACCCGAAGGAGTCTTTCGGATGTGGCGGGAATAGAGACGAAATAGCTTCAAAGGTGGGTTACAAAGTGAAACGTAATATTAGGAAAACGCAAAAGACGGAATGAGAGGCGATTGCATTTGTAGCACTGAGGCGGCAGGCGGCGTGCGTTAGGCGGAGGGTGGCAGGCGGCGGGTGATTGAACGGACGACTCATGGCGTTAACAAAATAAGCTCTCGATTGACCGTAGGCAAGTTTCTATTGCCGCTCGTTTGTATTCCCTTGTCTCATTGAGTTGTCTGGTGTTTTTGTTTCAGATTTTGTCGGTTTTGATTCAGAGCATCGCAGCCCTTCCAATAATATTGATTGCAGCCATTTGGCATTCTCCTTGGGAAATGAAGAATGCTGAGTTTGCCGCTATCGTCTTGTTGGTAGCCTATTATTTAATTTTTTTCGGCATTGCCATTTTGCCAACTGGCTGCCAAACACTAAGCTTCCTTGACAGCTTTGCAAGGTGAGAAATTGAAAATTCTGCGTCAGTGTGTGTCCGACCAGAGTGGAATATCTATGCTTCAGTTGAGCGCTTGTCGCTATAAAACCAAGTCCAAGGTGATTACGATGACGGACAATCAGAACTAAAGAAAGGAAACGAAACGGTCTGATATAAGTTTCTCATCTGATTGTTCGGGAAAGAGCCTTTAGTTTATTAGAACAATCATCGCACGCATGTACGACATTTTATTGAAATTTGCTCCAACAACAGTTAATTTCTGAAAAGCCCTTCGGTAAATTAGTTTTTGCTGATATTTGTCATCAGTTGCCGTCCTGGAAATGCGACAGTTGTTTTCCCGTGAAACAATCTTACACTCTTCGATCCCCTTTTGGCTCACTAAACAACCTTTATAATTTTTATTGACCTTGATCTTGTGTTTTCTACAGGTGGTGTCACGTACATTTATATCATGTTCGAATGTTGCGTGAGTTCTTTCAAGTGAATCATGTCGGCCCCAGTCCCCCAGCACTGTTATCTCTCAGTGACGGTGGTCGCCTGGAGAAATTTGGTTTGCTTCCACTACTAAAGAAAAGACTAAAGCGAATTTTAATCGTGGATGGAAGTTTTATTGTGAACGACGAAGACTACGCCAAACAGATCCTGAGATCGATGAATCAAGCCAGAAAGGACCTGAACTGTGAGTTTCTGGGATCTGGCGGCCGCGATGTGCAAGAGGAGATGCGCAAAACGTACATTGACGTACCTCGAGGTCGCCAGCCGAGATATTATCGATTTAAGGTTCAGTATTACGACAAAAAACCCGATGAAAGCTACGAGAAAGTGAAAGAAGGCGACATAATGATCATTGCTCCTCGTTACCCCGGCTTTGGAGAAAGTGCTACAAACCCAAATTTGGAGAACAATTGGAAACAGTACCATCAAGATACAGGAGAAAAACTTGACGAGGGACAGTGGGGTAAGGGTCCAGTTCTCCGCGCAGATGAAGTTGACCGCCTGACCTTCTGCTGCTGTGAATGTTGTCATTCAAGCTCCAAAGTCCTTCAGTGGATATCCAAAAAGCTCTGTCTGAGATTCCCAAGTACGTCAACTGTCAATCAATTCTTTACGTCCTCTCTCTATACTGCTTATCACCGCGAGGGGTATCGCGCATGCGTTGAATCTGGTGCCGAGGAATTTCTTAAGGAGTTTGATGCCATTGATCTCGCAGATATTGTGTAATGAAGTAGAACGTACCACCCTACTGTTGAGGCTGGAAAACGTAGGGGACTGCTGATGAAAAAATTTCTGAAATTAATTTAAAGGGAAATAATGAAAGTTATTTTAATGAAATTAGTGAAAGTTTATACAAAAGAAATAATTTATTATAATTGCAGTTTTGCCAAGAAAAAATGACCGTTCATGGTCATGAAATGTTGGGTCGGGAGTGTAAATGATTCAGACAAGAGAATATAGGATTCCAATGAATCTTTATTGAGATAAGAGAATTCCTTACCCCTTACAAAGTTTAAAAACCACAATAAACTTATACAAATGATGTTATGCTAGTTTATTTGAGAGAAAAAGAAATGACTATAAAAATTATCACGCAACCGTTTATTATGGTATGAAGTAAATTTATTTTGACAGAACGCACTATGGTGTATTTTTTTTTTCTTATGTTATGCTGCGGCTGCGGTTCACTTTCGATTCGTTCCTACAAACTTAGGGACTACTCTTGATTTATCGCCTTAGGGGGAGGGGGTGGTCGGAGGATTTGGGGGGAAATGCATGGTTTTTAGGGGAACGGAGGAGATCAGAGTATAAAGTTGGGGGGGAGAGACTATAGAAAATTGACAGCCAATGTGGGGGGGATCATTAGGATACCACAGAACCTTCGAACTGATTTTTATTTTGACAGGGCCAAAATCCTTCGTTTCCTGCCTCCCCCTTCGGTCCCAAACTTGAGTCCAGATGAAACTTCATCTTCCACAGCCCTTTGAATCTCACCCGACTTTCAACTCAGACTTTTAAAAGACTTTTCCTGGAGTACATTTAGATTTAAACATTTAGGAAAAGTCTGCTGTGGAACAAATTACAAAACGCAATCACCGAAGCAAAAACTTTCGCGCCGGTTAGCGCGCTATCCGCGTTAGAGATTTCAGAGGCTAAGATTTCTTTTGTTTTTGTTCACCGATTTACTAGGCGGGAAATAGTCAGGATTAAGCCAGAATCGAACGGTATTAGGTCTAAGAATAAATGAAACTATGTCACGTTCAGTACCAAAACATGCACTCAGTAATAAGTGCAGATTACCCACAGTGCCTTTTCACTTATGGTTTAACAGCATGCGGATGAGCTTGCACTTTTACATAGACATGGAGCACTTCGTCTCCACCAGTTGATCCAACAACGCATTCAATTTCTTGGTGCATTTCTTTCTAAAATTTTCTTAAAAGGAATTATTAGCTTGTGATAATGAGGGCCTACCTGCGGGCTTATTTTTGTTCACGCATGATGTCCGTCATGGCATTGCACCAACTGACATTCATTTGATAATTGCTAATTATAAACAACTTTTGTACCAAAGATTCTCGATCGTCGGCCTAACTCAACTCTTTCGCCACACTAGCTGAGAGCAAAGGTGCGAAATGAAATGTCAGTAGAAATGAGAAAGCTACAGAAATTCGCAGTTAAACTAAAACATCAGATGAGAACTCTTCGCCATTATAAACTCTATAGTCTATAAATATAATCTTGATGTTCCAGACATTTGGAGAAGGGTGCATGAAATATGTTATCTATTCGTCTAATTCTTTTATTAACATTTAATCAATTATTCATCTGTGTTTATAAGTAGTGTAAAATAAGCCTACTGTTCACATGTGTATCGAGATATCATTTTGTAATTCGTCTTGGGTGCCTTCTAATTTGCGTTAAATGTTTTGTATTAGTGATTTAAACATAACCCGCGTACTCTTTCGTTATGACTTTGATCAATGATCACACGTCAATACCTCGAAAGTGAAAGCAGTCGGGGAAAGTTTGGTTTGGTAGCGAAGCCGCTATTCTCATCCTGTATAAATAAAGATAGATAGATAGATAAATCGTTTATTAAAAAGAAACACCTCGCAGTCCGAAGACTGAATTACGTCTATAATATACAAGAAACAAAATTCATTGTTAAAATAGTTTGAAAATCTTAATAATAAAAATATACAAATCTAATAAAAACGTTTCACTTAGGATGATCTTGTGTTAAAATCATACTTAAAACATATATATTTACACCCTTAGGCTATGGCTAACAACAAAAGGTTTTTTAAAACGGTCAGTCTTGCACAATGGCACGTTAAACTTCCTATTGCTGCGCAGCTGCCTGTGGTGCTCAGCTTTAGGTGGGAGCAGACCTGCGAGCTTGTGATTAATGTCAAGAACAATGTCATTAAAAAGATCAAACGATCTTGTTTTGTATTAGTGATTAAAACATAACCTGCGTACTCTTTCGTTATGACTTTGATCAATGATCACACGTCAATACCTCGAAAGTGAAAGCAGTCCGGGAAAGTTTCGTTTGGCAGCGAAGCCGCTATTCTCATCCTGTATAAATAAAGATTCTGTTCTAATCTATTCTAATCTATTTTATAAATGATAGTTCTATCTCCGCTCGAATCTCTACAGTTGTTTTCTTGAAGCGACCGAAAGGCTGCCAAACATGCTGGCCGAATGTTCGATAGGTATAGCTTGACTGATCGTTTTCCCGGAAAACAGCAGCGAACATTAAAGAAAATTTGTTTTTTTCTGAGAAAGGAAGTGTTTTGTGGGGGTAAATCCCTGCCCACTGTAAGCAGATTTTAAAAGGAACGAGAAATTTGAAAAGGGTAGACCCACTGTGAGCACATTTAATGGTAAGAGCTAGGAGATGTGTACACTTGCAAAGTAAAGCCAAGAGGTAAGGGAAGTTTGCAGTTGAGGATACAAACATTTTTTTTGTGTGGTATTTTATTATGGATGTACAATCTTCGTAGAGATATTGTCATCTTATCAGGCTAAGTTATCGATTGAAAAATATTGTACTTTAAGGCTTGGTTAACACGTTGTGCGTATCTTATCGAATCTGTGGTTCTCTTGGTTTTTCGTGATCGTTTAGAGGTTTGATGAACTTTACAAGGTCAACAATCGATTATTTACTCGATGCACCTGCCCTACTGACGATGCATAAAGCTTAAATATTTGCTAAGTTCTCGACCAAGTGTATTTCATTTGAAGTGAGATGACACCAATATCCATGTTAACCGAAGAAAGTTGTTTGATAAAGGTTTTATTGCTTGACATGTAAAGTAGGCAAGAATTTTGATTTATCCAAAATATTTTGAGCCGTTTCATCGTGTTGACTGCCGCACAAAGGGTTGCCATGTTTACTCTCAGTCGCTGTTAAACTTCAGGAAAACTCTTCAGTTTCTTTCTTTTCGCTCGGGTGTATAATTTTCCTTCTCCAATTTAATGCGGAGGGAAAAGCACAGTCAGCTCTTTCATGAATGTGAGTTTAGACAGTGTTTATTAAGTTTCCAAGGTAAACTAGAGGAGGTGGTTTCCCCGATAAAATTATGGCAAGGTATTTCACATTTCCGTTTGCTAATGAGGGTAATTAACCAGACGCGTGATATGTAACACAACAACTGTCAGAGAGTGGAGGGACGCGTGATATGTAACACAACTGTCAAATCGGGTTTAGACGCTAGAACCTTCTTCTGATTAAACCAGCTTATTTTCAGCTTCCTCACTATTATTTATCTGTTAATATATCTATCAGTTATGGTTTTACGTCTTTGCTTGACCTATTAGAAAACAGAAACAAGGCAGAATGATTATCTTTTTACGTACAATTCAGGCGTAAACGTGCGATCGCTATTACAGTGAGGAATAGTGCTAGGTGATCGTAATTGAAATTGTTCTATTAATTTTCAAGAATTTCTAGGAAATTACTTCATCATGTCAGATGTCGGCGTTGCTTTCTCCGGTGGTGGAATCCGCTCGGCTGCATTGACTTCCGGTGTGTTGCGAAGGCTTCTGGAAAGCGGAGCTGAATTCGATTACTTAAGCTGCGTTTCCGGAGGAGGTTTTACAGCCGCTGCCTTCTTGGATTGGAAACACAGAAACATAGGAAAGAATGATCGGGAATGGCATAAAAAATTTTTCGAGCACATGCGAAGCAGAGTTGGTTACCTCTGTAGTTGGGAACGCCCACTGCAAGGCATTTTAGACAGCATCATACTGGTTTTTCTGCTGCTCATAGTCAATCTTCTTATTCCCTGCATCATCTACGGCGCTGGTGCTATTCCATCTGCCTTCGTCATCGATTACGTATTTGGTGTAGTCATGCGCAAGGGCTTCAACTGCACCGATGTTCCTCAAATTTCAAGAGGACTGAACATTACAGAGAGACATTGCACTCGACAATTCGAGATCGGTCAACCAGAGGTGCGCGAGCAACTTTACCTGTTTTTTTTTCTATTCCTCGCGTTCTTCGTGTCCTATTTCATCAAGACTATCGTACCCATGAGAATTCGCTCGATTGTGCGTTTCTTCAAGATCTTAGACGGGTCGCTGCTCGCTTTGACCCTCTTCCCCTGGTTAATACAGCAGTTTACTGGGGTGTTACCCAGCTGGCTTAACGCGCTTATAATCATCCTAAGCATCTTTTTTTGGTTTGGATTTCCACCCTTAAGAGGCGAAGTATCCCTGGTACTAATGACTTACTTTTATGCATTCGTTGTAAAGTGGCGAGTGTATGAGACCAGTGTTATGGGTATCGTGTATGAAGAACAACTTTTCTACACTCTCCTCCTCATTTCTGGATTTTGCTTATGGATAACTCCTTTTATTGGAATGTTCAGCACCACGGCAGGTTTTACATACTATAAGTAAGTGGCCTTAATAATCAGTCATTATTTATCGCCAAGAAGGGGGGGAGGGACTTTGGTTGTGTCACGATAAAATTTACCTGATCCGCCCATAAGGCTCCGAGGTTGTGAGCCCTCCCCCCCTCGAGTGGCAGTTAGTTTTTTTAGCCTCCCACCCCTTTATACTTTGTTGGTGACGGCTGATCTCCCTCTCTTCTCCTTGAAAAACATGTAGTCCCCCTAAAAAGTCCTTCGACCTCTCTTACCCCGCTAGACGAAATCTAGCGAGGGTGTCTCGAATAATGATTTAAGATGTAGCTCTTACTTTTGAATTGACTAAATACAGACTTGCCGAAAAACACTAAAAAATAGAGGCAGAGGTTCTGCCCAAAGTCAAATCATCGCAAAATATGTGAAAATAGGGTGTTTTTGAATTTCAGGTGGAGATTGCAGCGAGCATTTTTCACGGAGGAAAGCGTTGGTTCGCTTGGTTGTAAAGGAATCGGTTGCGGCGACTTCTTTCCAATCCTGTCGTGTAATCGTCCGAAACACAAAATTTACCCTAACCCTAACCCTAACCCTAACCCTAACCCAGGAATCGGTTGCGGCGACTTCTTTTCAATCCTGTCGTGTAATTGTCTGAAACACAAAATTTACCCTAAACCTAACCCTAACCCTAACCCTAACCTCAAGCCTTCGCATTGACAAGTACCATATCAGCCTACGAGATGCTGAAGAAAAAAAATCGCACATTGAGAGTTTTAACTTCCGACTGTTTTTCAGTTTATTGATCATAATGTAAGCTTATGTTTTAGTTTCTGTGTGATAAAACCGAGGCAAAAAATGTTTACCTCATTGTCGTTGTAAGCAGTGGATAATTAACCAAGACGTTTGGCGGCTCGGAAAAATTCGACTTCAACTGATATGATGTCGATAATATGCCAATCGATTCGAAGCTTAACAACCCCCTGGGCAACTCATGAACATTTGACTGTCGTCCGTGCCTGGGGCGTGTGGGAAATTTCATCCCTTGCCTTGGTGGGGTGGGGAGTTTGAACCGAAAGTGTCAAATTTTTTCAGGGGATTACACGTGTTTTTTATTTCGGTGATAAAGAGGTCATATTCACGAGAAAATGGCTCTACAAAGTTTACAAGGTCCAGGCTTTAGATAACAAGTAGTAAAATCAATTTCTGGTCAATCAGTTGAAAGTTACGGTCGCCTTTCACAAAAGAAATTGGACCATTAAATTCAGCACTTGGGTGGGGCATTTGAACACGGACGGGAATTTTAACGAACGAAAAAGGTTCAAATGTTCGGAGAGGGGATGCCTAGGGGTAGGATGTTGAAGATTTTAATTGAAATGAGCTTTTGGTAAACCTTCGACAATTTTTTTTTATTTTCGCTCGTTTTCTATTCCCTTACCTCATTGTGCTGTTAACATTTTTGTTTCAGGTTTTAACAATTTTAATCCAGAGCATCGTAGCCCTCCCGATGATATTTCTTGCAGTCATTTGGTTTTCTAGTTATGAAATTAGAGCCGAGGGTGTGGTCATAGCCGAGGGTGTGGTCATAGCCTTCTTTGTGGTTTATCTTGTGATTTTTTTTGGTATAGCCATGTTGCCAACTGGCCATGGCGATGCATCACCATATAGCTACCTGGAGAGCTTTGCAAGGTAAGAAATTCGATAAATTTGTTCAAATGAGTTTTCGTACATACCGGAAAATCAGTTGAGTGCCATAAATCCAACGTTAACGTAATTGAGACTGTCAATCAGAACTAACTGGTCAAACGTAAATTCATGTACCACGGGGAACCACGGGGAAGGGGGGGTGGGGTGGGTGCAAATGGGTAGAATTCAGTTAAGTTTTGCATATGATTTGTCAAGAATGTGGTGTGAATTTACCATACCAACCATTAGAAGTATCAAGAAAAAACTAATCACAATAATTATATGAATGTTAGATTCCTTTCACCACTTGATTAAAAGTTGCCTGATCACAATCATCCTTTAACAAATTTCATCATTGACCACCCTTCACCTCGTTGCACAATTTTTTTTCCTTTTATTGACCTTGATCTTATTCATTGTGCAGATGGTGTCATGCGCACTTATACCATGTTCGAATGTTGCGCGAGTTCTTTCAAGTAGATCATGTCGGCCCCAGTCCCCCAGCACTGTTATCTCTCAGTGACGGTGGTCGCCTGGAGAAATTTGGTTTGCTACCACTACTGAAGAAAAGACTAAAGCGAATTTTAATCGTGGATGGAAGTTACATAAGGAGCGACGAAGACTACGCCAAACAGATACTGAGATCGATGGATCAAGCCAGAAAGGACCTGAACTGTGAGTTTCTGGGAAACTATGGCCGCGATGTGAAGCAGGAGATGCGCGAGAAGTACGTTGACTTATCTCAAGGTAACCAGCCAAGGTCTTATAGATTTAGGGTTCAGTATGACGACAGAGAACAACACAATGAAGGCAACGAGAGAGTGAGAGAAGGCGAAATAATGATCATTGCTCCGCGTCACCCCAACGACGGAGTGAGGGACTCCGCGGGGATCACTTGGAAAGAACCTGGGGGACTTGACACTAGCCTGTGGGGTAATAGTCCCGTTCTCAATAAAGAAGATGTTGATCAGTTGACCTTCTGCTGCTGCAAGTGTTGTCATTCAAGCTCCAAAGTACTTCAGGGGATATCTGAAAAGCTTTGTATGAGATTCCCACGCACGACAACTGTCAATCAATTCTTTACGTCCTCTCACTTTACGGCCTATCACCGCGAGGGGTATCGCGCCTGCGTTGAATCTGATGCCGTGGCATTTCTAAGGGGGAGTGACGCGTATGTTGTTTAGAGAAATAGAGAACTTTACCTTTACCTTTACACAGAAGAACTGTGACTGGTTGTCAGGAGCGGAATGAATTAACCGGCCCATGGGAAAACTTATACACATACTTCTTTAGAAACTCCTTTTAACGAAGAAGGATTTTCAAAGTTCAGCAGCTTTCTAAATCTTTCCACTTTGCAATTTTTTTCTGCAGATTTACAATGATTTCATAGGTTGTTGGAGATTTTTAGTCCTATAATGCCACTAGAATAATTTTTTGTAAGCTTCCAGAACCTTTTAGAATCAGGCCTCATGAGGAATAATTCACCTAGCCAAATTAGTTGTTGTCGGCAAAGACCGGCTGGTTAGAGAAACTTTATGGAGCTATTATTGTCATTTTTTTGTCGTTTAATTAATACCGTAACATAAGTAAAAGTTCTTGAGTGAAGTTACTATGTTAACTTCAATAAAATGAACGCTTGAAACAGTATACGCCTTTATCGAATGTAATATAACAGCGGCAGTTTCAGTTTGATAATGAAACCAAAGCCATTTGAGTATCTGCGGTCACATTTGACGCATCCTGGTAAAATTATTACAACTTCTCGTTACCTCTGAAGTGGCCACCGAGTTGAGGGTGACAAGAGGTAAACTCGTTCGTTCTTCCATTCATTCACCTTTGATGTCGTTCACTTCGTTGCGTAAGTTCGCTTGCAGTCTTTCTGATTTAAATCAACTGATCAATTGAAAAGCATAAAAAAGTAAGGAAACCCCTGCACGGAAAATATCATGTAAGGAAAACTACCGAAATATTTCAGATTTGTCACAGAATTGAGAAAGAATAGTGATAAGTGTCTGTGATTCTTTTCCTTTCGTGTTTAGATTCAGGAAACAGCGTGACGTTTTTTGATTTTGCGTGACGTGTCACGAGAGAAATTCGCCTGCAAAGAATCATGGAAAACTTTGACGTGTCAACGCATGCGCAGGATATTAACAGAAAACAAACTTGTTTTGCAGTTTTCAGTGCTATATGCGACAAGATTACTTGGTGCATGAACCAAAAACCACTTTTAATGACAGACTGTTTGGTTGTTACGAGTAGAATATAGATATTTTATTGCAATGCTACCGGAGCCTGCAAATTCGTCATATTATTCGCAATCAAAGAAGCGTTCGCGATGTATGTCGACCTCGATGCAGTACAAGTTTCTTCGCCGGATCTTAAAATATCGACACATGGATTTCGAATTTGCCCTGTGGCAGATGCTTTACCTTTGCGTATCACCGAGAAAAGTGTAAGTATTTCTACATTTTTGCCACGATTTTTAACATATGGGGCAAAGTCCTTGACTCGGCATCTGATTTTAAGGTAGCCACGTTCGTATGATTGGTTGTGTCAGCTTGAAATGTGTCTGCCACAAAGCGAGACTTAATAAACATACTACGCTACATTTTACCCGCGAAAGCCTACATTACGTATGAAAGTTAAACATGAATAATCAAGATTATGAACGTATTGTTTTTGTTAAACAAATGCGAGTTTTTGTTCGTGGATGACAGGGATGATCTGTTCTGCAAATGTGAAGGTAATCTGGTTAATTTGGTATGTAGGTTGAAATATATGTTCTCGAAATGTAACCTTCTTTTTTTACCGATTCTATTTTTGTTTTTATTCCAAATTGATCGTGAATATACGATAATAATTTTGTCATTTTATTTTTAAATTACATGTATGATCTTGACCGAATATTTCCAGCAGTTTTTTGAAACGTTAAAAGGTGTGCTAATGGTTAAGTTAATGGCTTGAATTCAGAAGTACAGCTGTAACAGTAGATGAGGTAGTCTGATCAGAAGTCCCAAACAAGACTGTACTTGATAGTGATTGATATTTTTACAACCTGAGCATAGGTCATCATCAGAGTTAGTTAAGTAACTCTGGCAATGACTTAAATCTGATGTTGAATCCCATTCAAGTTGTCAAAATGTTCACCACTATCATCTACGACAGTCCATTCCAGGACACCTCTAACCAATACAATTACATTACATGATACAGGGCTATCATTAGCAGCTGGTACATGTAGATGGGGGAAACCCACCAGCTGTCAGACTATTTTACACCAGCTGCTTTGTGAATTGTGATCAGATAGAAAATAAATATTTTTTAACTGATTCTGACATAATTGTCTGGATAAAAAAAAGTTACTCAATCATGTCCCAGAATGCCAGAGATCACATCTCCAAGAGTTTCAAATTTCAAATTTTTTTGCAGGAGCATAACTTAGACCCCCCCCCCTCCAAGAATGTAGTGTTACAAAGCAGTAAGTCACACTTGCTTTGCAATAATTAATATTGTTCTTGCTCCATTTCTGCTTTCAGATACCGAAATTTTCATTACCACAAACGTAGGTACCTTAAAGACATAAAACATAGTTATTATACTTAATAAAAGTGACAAAAGCTTGGCCTGACTTTTCATACTTTTTACCCCATAATATTTCAACCATTACTGTCCTATTGCATTACTCACTTGATTTGATAATGAGACCAAACATGTTTGTTCTATTGGTAGAAGTGTATGGCAATTTATCCTTTATTACATCAAATAACAAATAAAAAGACACTTGTTCTTCAAAGTGGCTCACCTCAAGGTACTGATGGTTCTCAAAATCTGTATATTTTCAATTGATGTGTATATGTGCACTGAGGACTTTTTCCAGACATGTGCCAGAGTTTTATCTTCATTTGGTTGTATAAGTACTGCCACCAGAAGCCTATCTTGTGGCTACAACTGGTTACATGTAGTTGACTCTCTTTTCTCATACAGAAACAAAAGACCAGTGGGCAAGAGATGATCCTGCTTTTCTTGTGTTACTTAGTATTTGGTTGTGTGGTAAGTTAACTGGTTCATGCAGACACTTGTTGTTTGTGCTAGTTAGCCTTCCGTACCATTACTTGCCATAGAAAAGGAGATGTTGGACTGTTGTTTAATACAGAATTAGACTTTAAATGGGGTTGGTTCAGGTCCCTGAACTGGATCATTTGCTCATGGAAGCTCTCCTATCAGGTCAGAAGTAAATGGTTGGCCAAAGAAAAACTTTGCAAGCTGGGAACAAAAACATCTGAGTCACCCAGAGTTTGATATTGTAGTGAGATGGTTTTGAGAGAAATGAAAGTGATTGGTGAAGACTATGCACTGAGAAATAATTTGATAACTTGACACCAGTCACAGAGTCTTAAGATAGATTACTTTAAAAGTGTTTGTTAGCAGAAGGTATGATAACCATAAAATTATAGAACTTACTTCTGTGTCCTAACTGATACACCCTTTGTTAATGTGTACCTTTGCACTCAAAATGTTTTGACTGATGAACTTGGTTGCAGTGTTCCTTCAACACTCGCCTAAACCTTGTTTTGTTTTACATCCTTAGCATCTTCTATTGGCTTTGCTGTGATGTTGAAGCTACCCTTTTTAGGATTTTTAAAGTTTTTACTATGGGTTGTCTTTGTGGATTGCATTGCTGTGGGTCTTATTATAGCATCATTGTTATGGTAAGTTAGTGTTGCAAATCTGAATATGTTTAAAATGTTTAAAAATTCCCAAAAAAATCTTTGGTTCAGAAAATTGTTGGCCTAACCCTTCCACTCCCATGACTGACCAAGAGAAAATTTCTCCTTACAACTTTAATGCAATATCAAGCAGAGAAGTGATGAGAATAAAGAGATATATCAGTGAGGGGATTATTGTTTGATCCAATACCAAATTCTCCCAACTAAAATAATAAGAATTGTATGACAGACAGTTAGGAGAACTATTACTGATGAGATCTTGGGAGTGAAAGGGTTAGTATGGTTTTATATTCAGTATATGAATACTGAAATGGCTGTGTTGCTTAGAAAACTGCTGTAATACCAGTCAGTTAAAAAATGGAAGATGCAAACACTGAAACTCAACTAAACATAAAAACTCATACAGAAAAGATTCACATGCCTCCCTCAGAAGATTTTTGGGTTGTGCCTTTCCTCATTCTGGAAATGCCACTTTTGCATGAAACTTTCCATCAAAAAATTTTGGATTTTAGAATCCCCGTCCTCTTGGAAATCAGGTGGCTTTTCTTGCAGTGAAAGGGGATCCGAACCAAACATATTATTTACATGTATGTGTACCATAAGGCTACTCAGTTTGCTTCACATTTTGATTACCTGCTTTTCCCATGGAAGACATGTAGCAGATGTTCTGGTTGGGATATTTCAGTTAGTGTGAAAGTTACTAAAATGCATCTGCTTGTCCTTGATCGCTTGTGGAATTTTCTTTTGAGCCTGTGTGATAGAAAGATAATTTGATACTGTGTTGAGTGAGCTACTGTATCAGATAATGGCTCTTTTACCTTCCAGGTTCTTTTGCAACAGATACCTGAGGATATCCACTGCACATGATCCAGGACAAAGAGTAGAATGGGCTTATGCATTTGATGTTCACCTAAATGCATTCTTCCCCTTGCTGTTAATATTACATGTCATCCAACTCTTTTGTATGAAGAGTAAATATGCTTTTCTGTTAACCGGTTATTAGTAGCTTAAATTAAAGATTACTTTAATTATTTACAATAAGTTGAGGTATAGATTGCAAACCTTATTCCTTGTTGGGGAAGTAGTGATAAACTAAGATTTATTAATAAGTTTTGAACAAAGGTCAATAATACTTGAACTAAAGTTGATATCAAAGCACAATATTTTTGGAATATTCATGTGGTGATGGTTTTCTGATGTCTTTGCAGTTGTTTTGGAAAGCATGTTTTGTTTGGTTATGTTAGATGAATTTTTTAGGAAGCTGTTTATGCATTCGAGTTCTATTAGTTTAATGGTAGTCGTGGAGACTCTCTGTCCTTTCCATTCAAGGCTTTCTACATTATCTTGATTTTGTCTTGAAGCCACGGAGTTGCACATCAGTGTGGCAATATCTCAGGAGTGCCACTTCAAGAAAGACTAAAGTATTAATCTTATGACTTTTATCAAGCCACTTCCCTTTGCAAAGCTGGGCAAAAGGTTCATGTGTTCTCCCAAAACATAACTGCCGTTATTAAAAAGCTTGGAAAGTTTATGGCTGCATGTTACTTCCATTTGTTATTGAAAGGATGAGTTATAGTTGGTTCCCATGGTTCAGGAGTACACATAAGGGCAGCACTGCATTAGCATTTCAGTGTTGGCCTTATAACTAACTTTAACCAATTCTCTCTCTCTCTCTCTTTCAGTTATCATTGACAATCCATGGTTCATATCAAGGTTTATTGGAAACTCACTTTGGCTTATAGCTCTGGTGTATTACATTTATATTTCTTTCTTAGGATAGAGTGGTGAGTTTTAATGGTTTCTCCCTATACTTCTGATTGTCTGTGAGAAAGCCTGCTACTGCAGTGTGGCTGCACTAGTCACCTATAACCATTTGAGTCAAATCATAAGGAACACAACATCTATTTTGGTCAGATTGCTTTGCTTTGGAGTGATACCTTTTAAACCTGTGTATGTGTTCATAAATGATTACATAACAATACTCTGCCACAATCAGTAATGTCTTTTTTTTCCCATTTTCTCCTAAACTTACATGTAGTTTCATTAAGTTTGTCTATCAGAGGAACATTAATTTGAGCCTCATATCTATTTAAAATTAATAAAAAAGGGATTAACTGTGAAAGTGACTGCCAACCCCTTCAATTGATGAGCCATGAAAATTTCATGAAAATTCTAAGTAATTGAATTGCTTGAGAGAGTATTTGATGACTAACTTCTCTTTTGATATGCTATTTTTTTATCCCCAGCATTACCATTTCTTCGAAGTACTGTGGTGCTACTGTATCCTGTCTTGTTGGTGGTGATAGGATATATTGTATCTCTTGCTGTGGGCTGGAACATAGGGCAGACATTTTTGCACTTTTATGAGTATAGAGTGGTGACTCAGACTGCTGGCTTGTCTCAGACTATTAGCTGAATGTCAGGCAGGAATTTCCAGGAGATCAGTGGATGTTGGCCAAGGGATTATTAACAAAAAGTCGTTAGCCTATGCAGTGTAGGTCCTCTTTACGAGGCTGGAATAGAGCGGGTGTAATACTATGGACAAGAATGAATAATTGCAGCAGCAAGGTTTTTATTTCTAGATGCATCAGAACATAGGAGACATTTTTGGATGTACATAGTGTATCTATAATTATCAACCATTTTGATAAATCTATGACTTGACTGTGCATTCTAGTACTTAACAACAGTCCATAGACTATAGGAACAAAAAGAGATATGTGCACGTAACTAGCCTGTTCAAGTGGCAATGCCAAGGTCTTTGGAGAGGATATTAATTCATAGATATATAGATCCTATCAATGAGCTTCCTTTTACCATTAATTTCATTGTAAGATGTCACTCAAACTAGTTTAAAAATGTTTGTCATGCTATTGTTGGGAAGCAATTTGTTATGATGAAAAATATTATTTACAGGTTGGAAATTCTGCAGAAATGTATAATAAAGTAAATTATTACAAGGTGAAAAAGAATTGCTTTTTAATTACTGCTTAATACTTGATGACTAGCAAGGATTGGTCTGTGACAGCTTAAAATAGACCATTTCCCAGCCACAAGAATAAGCCCATATCTGTAGATAAACACTGTCAAGTTTTATTGGATTTGTCTTAAATATCATCCAACATTCATTGCAAGACTTATCTTTGCACAAGTATGCATCTGTTTCTATTTGTTGTAATAAAAATATAACATTTAGAGACTGAACAGCAATTTGATTACCAGCACATTATTTCCTAAGGTCTGATCATCGATTCACCCCTCTTGCTGCCACACATTTCCTTGTAAATTAGTTACAAGAATGTGGTGTTAGTTCAAGATAACAACTTCTACCTGTAAGTTTGAGTGATTGTGATTATCAGTTTCTTGGATAATGTTGGGTATCTTAGGGAGAAGTTACATGTTCAACACTCCTGGGAGTCAAAGTCTTAATTACTTGGTTATATAATTATTTATTACACGACTCGGGCAGTCAGAGGGCCAATAACTTAAATCAACCAATCAAAATGCTCTATTGCCGGTCAATACTCTCTCAGTATTGGACTGGGCATTGTACCGAATGATACCGAATGATACCGCACTTGTGTTCCTTCGAACTTCAATCATATAATAAATCTCTTATTAACCAAGCTTGCGTGGGACTGTACTGGAAGAATATCGGCCCTCGGTCCGCTCGGTCCCTACTGTCAAGGCCTCAGGCCGATATTCTCCCAGTAGGGCCCTCGTGCTTGGTTAATAAGATATATTTAGTCAATGCCTGCCAGATCAGTTGTTTTCTATTACTGGAGGGAGGTTTATGATTTTCAAGAGCTAACTTCATTTTACTTGAAGAAATTAGTTTTAACAAAAACTAATATGTAGTTCTGTTAAGTATAGATACTGTGTGTTGATTATCAACTTGAAATTGACAATCAAATTACCTCTTCCAAAAAATCATGAAAAGTTGTAGTTTAGAGAGTTGATATTTTTTCCTTTCTCGAACAAGGACCAAACTTACTAGTATCCACTGCTCTTTGAAAATCAGCCATGAGTTTTGAAATAGCTACCAGTTATAGTTTTCCCTTTGTTTACAGCCTTATATATATATATATATTTTTTTTTCAAAAGCAAAAATAAAAGTGCTCTGGAACAAATGTTAGATTAGGATTTTCTCTCAAATTCTTCGACTCATTCTTGCCCTCCACGAAACTTCCTCATAATTGAAGGAAAATTGTCTAAGGCTTGAGTAGCTTTAGAACTAATCAGGCCAATTGCAGTCTTGCAGATCTATGATTTAAAGTTAGAAAAGATTAGATTTAAAGTTAATTTAACTCACAATTAGCTGCTGATTAGTCTGTGCTGAGTAAAATCAAGTTTTGTATTTTTGGAAAAGAAAATACCAAAACCAGTTATCAAGAATTTGAAACTCTGAAGAATGGAGAATAGATGAAGGTTGTTTTAGACCTTTAACAAAGGCTTTATTTCTAGTCAAGTCTCTGTGGGTAAAGTAATATATGTACTTGTTGGATTACTATGGTCTAAATGTTTTACGAGTACAGTCAGATAATTTTTTTTTATGTGCTCCCCTTAACAACTGCTATCATTTCTTGACAGGCCATGTGATTTGACTCAGAACTTTCACTCCAGAAAACAGTCGCGTTTTAGAAAGAGTGTTGAGATCAGTAGATAGAAAACTGTTCTACAGCTAAAATATAGCACTTGAAGTCAGCTAATGATACAAATGAAAATAAATTTAAAAATAACAAAAAAATTGAACTAAATGTTCACATATTAGTAAATATTAATATTAAAGCATGTGATTTTTACCTGAGCAGAGAGTTGGTCTTTGAGGCTTGATGCAAAGCCATCAGCAAACAAATTATACAACCAGCTTGTAAAGACAAAATTACATACAATTTCTTTAAACTCAAGTATACAACCAGTTTGTGAAACAGAAAAATTATTAAATTAAGCATTTCCTCCTGACTAACACCTTTGAGCTTGAAAGTATGCTGATAATATTGTAAACAGAAATTTCCTTGTTGGTCACTTCTGGGAGGTATAGCAACGTCTTGTCACCAATTGAAACTACTTTTGCTTATCATTTCAGTCCTATTCCTGGAAATATCCTTTAAAAAAGTGTCATCTACACAGATAACATGCACATCAACTAGGAAGAAATCAGTAACACTTGGACTAATAAGTAAACATACGAGGCTTTGATGTATGCAGTTGCTATATACCTATTAAATCATTACCTTGCACCTCCTTTAAACTTAATATGTACTGAGCCAATTTTCATTGTACAGTCCTTTGCACTGACTTTTCCCTTCTTCTCTTCCAAGTTACCTTCATGGCCAGACATAATAAAATATTTAGAAAATACAGTTAGGTGATAAAATAGTGGGTGAATCGGTGTAGAGGTGATCACATACATGACACTCAGTCAAAAAATGTTCAGAAAAAGTCAACCTTGCAAGTGTTAAACGTTCTTCTTACAGGTCACAAAGCCTCAACCTAGAATTATCAAATCTACATTTCTTAAAATAGATCTAAGTAGTTGGCTTGTACTAACCATCAACATAGAAAGCCATTCCAAGTGACAGGTCTTTGATTGACAGGTCACATGATCCTGAATCAGAGATGTGAGGCCTTTTCAAGAATAACAGTTAAAAAATTAATACTCACACTTTTTTACATCTCAGATTTTAGTACTGGCAGGATATGTTTTTTTTGAACCATGATAGACAGTATCTAAAGCTGTAGTATAATGATTGGCTAATCCATCAGGAGTTCCCAGTGGAGAGAGATCAGCAGCAGAGACTCCTTTAGTCTTACTCAGAAATACCCATACAAATGGTACTTTTTGCCAATCCTCAACACAGCCTATAGCATTTCTAGTCTAGGGTGCTGTCTGGCCCCACAACAAGGTTCAGCAGGAACCCAGAAGTAGTAGCAATATTAGAGCACAGGCATGGGCACCTTTCTTCTTGAGTGACCCCTTAGTTCTACATGCCAAATCACCAGATTGACATAAATTACTACATCACCCGAACTAAATCAGTCCTTTACAGTTAAAGACTCCTGCAAAATGCCAATTTTCCAAAAAGAAAAGTATCAACTGAAGGCTACAACTAGTAATGATCATACAATCCTCCCCACCATCTTGTCCCTAAAATGTAGAATGACACCAGCAATGTTTTACTTTCATTATTTTTTCTCCCTCAAAACACTGAACTTAAGAAACATATCTACTGACAACAAACCAAGAGTTCTCTTTGTAGTGCCAATTAGCTGCTATATTTCCTGAGGCTTCGTTGGCTGAAAGCCGTAACCCATGATCAGCTAATAGTGAAACATTGGTCTTCTTAATCACTACATTGGACAAGTTGATCCTAAAAATGTACATGAAATTGTATGGTATAAGGCTGGACTCATTTTTAAATCATGATTTAAACAATTGACTCATTTGTCTAACATATTGATACAAGTCAGTACAGTAACATGTATGCATAAGGTCTAGGAAAAATTATTTTCCATATCTGGGATAAGGAGGAGTTTAGCAAGCCTTTGCATTTAAGACAATGGGCTTGATAATTAGCACTTTTCTCACCCTTTGCCCACACTTTTCCTGCATTCTTCTTGCACAATTCCCACACTTTTCTTACAGTTCCCCAGCTTTCAAATCCACTATTTTCCAGTCCCTTAACAGCCCCCCACCCCCCCCTCCCCCTCTCTTATAACCCACTTTCTTGGAACACCAGCAGGTGTAATTTTGGAAAATTATAATTATAATTATTATAACTTTTTAAAAATTATCACTGCTCTCTTTGATTTTTACCAGGTACATGATTTCTCAGGTCACTTAAATAAGACATACTTGTTCAGGTCATACTGCACATTTCCTAGAGGAGTTTTGATGGTTCCAGAAAGATTGGGCACTGTTAAATCATTGAGTTCTTTAGAAACAAATGGAAGGATGATATGGTCCACTATGGTGGTCAGAAAAAAAAAAAATTGAAAATCAGCCTATAAAGTTATGCAACATACCATTTTGAAGATATCTGTAATGTCAAAAGTAAAAAATTAAATGTATAAATTGAATTAGGCAGAGCGGCATTTTAAACCAACAACTGAACTCGTGTGTGACACAGGGTCCACCATTAACATCTGGCTACAGCAGCAAGAGATTAGATTCTGCAATTCTGCTCTAACTGTGCTCTCCAAATTTGAGTTACAGTTACAGAGAGGTAAAGATGAATAGTGAAAAGCAAACTTAGCAAAAAACCATCCAAATTTAACCACATACCATGTTTTCACAAATCTGCCGACTTAACATTGGGTTAAACGAGTGGATAGAAAGGGGGATTTGCTTATAAATCACATTCACCAGCTGATAAAGTTTGCTATCATCACCTCCAACTGATATAACTAAAACTTTCTAGGCAAATAAAAAGTATGTAAAGCTTCTATAAATTGATGGAAAGTCATTATATTTCTTTTATATGTAAACTGATCTGATTTTTGAACTTCCAATTAATCCGAAAAATTATTGTACCTGTAATACCATAAGTCCGCTGAAGAGAAAGGTCAAACAGGGTGACCTCTAATAACTACAAACTGAAGTGTAAATTGGCACCCTGCGGTTTACTTAACAAATGAATAATTATTATTGACATTTTCCTAAATACAACGATGAGCATATGAATCTACAATGATGGTCTAACATTTCAACGGAGGATCGATTAACTCAAATCCAGTCGAAGCTAACTATGATCTGAAACCTTTTCCCGTCGTTTGTGCGATGCAATGATTCATTCATTCCAGAAACAACGATCAGTGATGTAAGCTTTATATAATATAAACAGGTAAACAAATTTCACAGCACGTTGCTTTAAGCTTTTAAAAAGAGCACCAATGCCTCGTTATTTCAATTCAAGTTGTCCTCTGCTAAGATACAGAACGGGAAAAGATTGTGATATCAAATGATATTAAATTTAATAGAGCAGCGAACTTTATCTTCACAATTTACCGTAATCCGACGCTCTCTGGGTAATTTCTCGTTTCCATTCTGGTGCCAAATTCAAGTCGATGTCGATATTTTTGGCTGAACAATGTTCAAAAACAAAAATTATCGACAAAAACAAAACGAGTATTCTTTCAATTAGTGTTCCCTTGATGATCGATTCTTCCATACCTGCCGATTCGAACAAATTGTAATTTACACCTACGTAGTCACGTCATTTTGCTGTTCGTTTATGGGGAAAGATCTTTTCAGTTGAAGGCCTCATCAAAAATGCATTTTGTAAACAATTTTATGGTAAATCCTACCTGTAAGGTGTAAACAGGTGAGCTGAACGCGAATTTCCCGCCATTTCTTTTCGGCAACGAAAATAGTCCGAGGAATTCACGAACTAGTCCGAGTTTTTCCGACAGAAACCGATGAAACCCGTGACTCAAAGATGGCAGAAGAGGTAATCGTGCAATTCATGCATTTTGCATTTTGTTTTGATTTCTAGATGGCTAAATACCACCAGTTTCTCTATTTTTTTCGGCAGAACGAGTTAGAGACAAAACGAATCGATGAGCTCAGGCAACGGTTTTTCCATGAAAACGGTTAGTCTTTCGCAGGTGACATATAATTTTTGAGTTACTTCTCGAGCTCAGCTGTGTTTTTGCGTGCAAGTTTTACCGGTAAATTAATTTTGGAAACAGTGTTCGTAAAGTTCACGTAGTAGAAGCCTTCCTCTTTTGAAAGTTGTCAAACAAAGCTGGACGGATTTCATGCCGGCAAAGGGTGGCGGAAACTTTATTCAGATCAAAGACTACTCCAAGTATAATTATTTACCAAGTGATGAAAATTTCCCGAAATTCAATATGATGTTCGATAATGCGCTATTTCCAGTTTAGCTTAAATTTAGATCAGCAAGTGGCAACGAGAGTTTCTATGTATCAATCAATTTCGTGTCAGTAAAATACGTGACGTCATTTTCTTCATACAAGTTACGTCTTATTTAATTTTTCCGCATTACTGAATGCTATTGCAGGCTAATTTCATTTGTACTTAGGATTTTTTTATTCTCCTATAGTTTTTCGTTTTTATGTCCAAAATTTAGGGTTTCGTAATTAAACAGCACAATCTCTAGTGGCAAAAGATTTCAAGCTAAAAATCTATGAGATTTGCATATGCCCCCTCTGCAATATTAAGGTAAAGAGCTTTTAAGTATCAAGTCCTAGAAAGTGGCTGTGCAGGAAAAGACAGGTGCGAGACAGGAATTAGGCAGAGATTCCATGGTATTTATAAAGGTAAGGGTTAATGATGTCATAAGGTACCGATCCTTGATTTTAGGTACAAATTTGCAAGAATTTGATGAACAAGATGTTAAAAGAGTCCGTGACGAAGACTTCTGGTTGAGTTGCTTTCTGAAATCTCGTAAGCAGGATGTAGATAATGCATTATCAGCCTTGGTAAGTTACCTGGAACAAAGATGTCATTTTTCCCTTTTCAATGGGTTTATCTTTTTTTTTTGTAAGAGTCTTGGAGATAAGTGTGCAGAAATTTTATTTAACAACTGTGAGTTCATTGACACTGTTCCAAACCTCATTGTTTTTTTTTTTACTGGTCACACAGTCAGTCTACCAGGAATAAATTTGAATGATCCCATAATTTTTACCATAATTAACAATGATGGGATCAACTCACTTTTACACTTACATGCACAGCTTGATGCACCTTGCTTTGAACATCTGTTACAAAGAACAAGTAAAACAAAGAGACATTGTTTCTCTGTGCTAATGAAATTTTTACAATAAATTTCTACTTCCTCTTGCTAGGTGGAGTGTCTAAAATGGAGAAAATCATTTGGAGTTAATGGTACATGTATACCCACTCTTGTTCACATCATCAAGTTGATTTACTCTTTATCCCTATCACTGCCATGAGTGACCAAGACAGAATTTCTCCTTACAATGCACATACAATATCAAGCAAACAAGTGATGAGAATAAAGAAAAATACCAAATAGGGAATTACTAATTGATCAGATACCAAATTATCCAAAGTAACATCAAAAGAATTGTATAACAGAGAGTAGGGAGAATTACCGATGAGATCTCTGGAGTGAAAGGGTTAATTAACTCCTAAGAGTGATAAGCTACTAATTTCTCCCAAATGTGACACCTCTGAATCAAACATTAGAGTCATGACAATAAGGAACTGGTTGCAAACTTAAGAAGCTCCAGCCTCATTCTTAGACAAATTTTACTTGAAGGTACCATAGGAAAGTCTAGAGGACAAACAATAAGGAGAACTTGCATACTGATGTTACGGTGTAGGGGTTAATAATCACAATTTTGCATGTGTTTCCGTTCCTGACAAGTAGGTTATTTCATAACATGTCTTGATTTATTTTTTAATGATATTTTCATTTGTGCAGAACTTACAGAGCGCTCAGTAGACCGGAGACTGTTTGAGGCTGGTTTTCTCTTTCCATATAACCGGGACAAAGATGGAAATACGCTGGGTAAGTTTTTTGTTTTTACCCCTCTCAACTCTAAGGGTTACCGATAATTTACGACTCCTTACAATATCAATATGCCATGAGACCAGAAGGCGATCAAAAGGGAGAAACTTTATTAAAAAAAAATGTACAGCAGAGAATGGGGAGAATTTGTTTGGAAATCTTGCAAATGAAAGGGTATTATTAACAATCCAGATGATTTCCTCCAAAGGTGCAGCTTATTCAGATAGGAATAATTAAGAAAAATCTGAGTCCTATGTTTGTGTCCCCCCCCCTCCCCCCCCAAAACAAATAGCAACTTTCTTTACTGTACAACCAAGCTTAAATTTACTGCCTTTCTTTTTTATTTCTATATTATAGAATGGTAAATGAATGTTTGAGCTAAACTTTTGATGCGACTTTGTAAACAGTTATAACAGTTATAACTATTTTGACTATATCTTGTCAGTCATCTACATTGGAAAACTTTACAACAAAGATCCACAGCAACATCCAGAATTGAAGAGATATCTTGTGTTCCTATTAGAAAAACATGTAAGTGATATCGACTTCATGTCTAAATTTAAACTTAAGGAAGTCTTAACTTGAAATTTTTTCCTTTTTTTGAGCTTTTTTGCTCTCAGTATAAGCACACTACTAGCTGGAGATATATTTTGCATCTAATAAATTTATTTTAAATCATATATAGTGAGAAGAATGGTTTTTATTCATAAGGCATTCAAAGAGCACATCTACTAAACAGAAGTGGCAAGCTTTATCATTTATGCAACAAAACACACTTTCAATTGGTTTAACAGTGCAAAAATCCATGCACAATGTTAGGAGAACACAAGAAAACTTTATAAATCACAAGCCAGTGGTGAGTGACTTACAAACTTTTCAAGTTTTTTCCGAACACCCAAGTGGATTAGGTTTTATGGTGGTTACCTGATAGAAAGTGCAGTTCATGTTATATACTGTAAATGCTCTGTGCGATTAAAATACTTTGCGCAAAGAACTCAATGACATGCCACCAACTTGGAATCTGCATAATTTAAGGTTAAATAATTCCATGTACATCTTTTGTGTTTATTTTACCAGTTCATATGGCTTATTAACTCATTTTTGTATATCACTCTTGTACTTGTATATCTAGGAATCAGGTTATTAAAACCTTAAGTCCACAATGGTATAACATTGTCTCTACTTTACAACAGTCCATTGCTTTTGTAAAATAAACTTTGATGTTATGTGGGTGTAGTGGTGCAATAAACAGTCAAGGTGCTCATAGTTTCTCAGGCATAAATAATATGATTTTATTTCTTCAGTCAATTATTATTTAAAAGTTCTCTTGTTTGTAGGTAAAAATGTTTCCTGGCAGAAAAGTAACATTTTTATTTGACATGCAGGATACTGGCTTAGCAAATATGGTGAGCTTTGATGTATTTAAAATATGGTATATTTTGATATGAAAAATTTTGCTTATCTTCATTAAAGTTTCCTAACATTTGTGACATTCTGACATCTTTATTTAGTTTTACTAAAGTTAGTCACTAGGGACAATTGTAATAACTGTTACAATAGAGTAATTCTTCTTTTGTTTCTAATTTAGGACATGGATTTTGTAAAATTTATCATAAGTTGTTTCAGAGATTACTTTCCATGGACATTAGGTAGGAGATTTAGTTTAGCTGGATGATATAAATTTCTCCTTTCTCATGCAAATCCAACATGGATTACTGAATGTAAAATTTATTGATTTCTCCGTCATTAGCATGGTTATTAATTGTGGAGATGCCCTGGATTTTAGCAGGTATTTAAGTTTAATTTATACTGAACTTATATAAGATGTCAGTAATAATTTAAACTGAATTAGATCAATGAATTTACTCCTTGCCTGGAATGATGGTTGTTACTTTAGTCAAAATTTTTGTTCAAGAGGTGTGTTTTGGTCAGAGTCGGTCTCTGATAGTAGAACATCACATTTGCTTCATTCTTAAAAAGCATTATTTCTCAACCAACTTTGCTAAATCACTTCTTATATAAGCAGGAAGTACCCTTTCTTGCATCTGTTTTGATTTGTGTGTTATCTGTTTTGTTTCTTTACCACAGCAACATGGAAAATTGTCAAGTCATGGCTGAGCCCTGAAGCTGTCAAAAAAATCAGGTTTGGTTCATATTTTTTGCTTAAGAAGACATTTTGGCTTAGGGATTGTGCACTTAAGATTAAAGCTTAGGTCTCAATCTTTATTTATTAATTTATTTTAATTTTTTGCACTATTTACAAATAATTGTCCATATTGTTCACTTAATAAAGGATAATCTGTATACAATGCTAAAAGATTAGGAAAAAAATAATTAAAATGTTTAAACCAAATGTTTTAGGCTGTTTGCCATCATCAGGGTTGAAAATAATGACCGCCTGTACATACATGTATATCTTATGGGATTCCCGATGGGAAAAGTTTGGAGACATAAGAAGAAATAACTTGTTTGTTCCAATTGGGGCAGAATTGTTAGATAATTAGCCCCTCGACGATCCTAGGCTTGTGGAATGTTTCTGCTGAGGAGAGAACACGCCAAGTGAAACAATGTGATGGATTTTCCCGCAAGTGTTTTGCAGATTCAGAGGTGTGAACAGGATTTGAATGCTCCGCAATACATACTGTTAAATTTCTCACAGTTTCGCCAATGTAATCAATGCCACAAGAACAATCTCCTTTGTAAACAACTTTGGATCTGGGAAAGTATATTAAAAGTACACTAATTAAAGTACATTTAAAGTACATTTAAAGTACATTTAAAGTACATTTAAAGTACATTTAAAGTACATTTAAAGTACATTTAAAGTACATTTAAAGTACATTAAAAAGGAGAGACATAGGCAAACTAAATTACACATCAGTAGTGAAAAGCAAAATGTGGGCAGTGACCAAAGTAGCTTAAGCTTTCGAGTTGGTCTCTTGAAATCACTGTTTTGGCTTTCAGATTTTTAAACAAAGCTGAACTTTTGGATTTAGTCGATGAAGACAAACTACTTGTCAGATTAGGTGGAACTGTAAGTACTGGAAAGCTTGAAAATTTTCCACACAATCACAATTCTCATACAATAATTATGAAATTAAATGTCGAACCCTTTCTCTACTAAGATCTGCTGAATAATTCTTGTGACATTGGTTTGCAGAATAATCAATAATTAAGTCAGTTCATCTTCGTGTTAAATGTTTTTCTTTCTTCTCATCCTTTGTCTGCGTGATATTGTATTGAAAAGGAAACATTCTGTCTTGGTCACTCATGGGGGATAAAAAGTTTAACTGTAATAGAAACATGTTGTGCACACAAAACATGCCTTTCAAGGCAGATCTCCAGATTTTTGTACTAGATTGAGGCACTGGCAGCAAAGTTGGCCAACTCTGGGCCAGCCCTAAAGGACAATTGATCAAAAGCATTGTGTCATGAAATCAGATTGTGCTGGCAGGGGTTCAAATCATCCTTGAGATCATAACTCTCATTTTGTGATTAAGGCATGGAAATTGAAAGTATATAGCACAGAGCCAGTAGCCGATAGTTCATCAGTGAATATTATCTTTAAAAATTTGATGATGCAAGAAACTTGTAAAACTGTTCATCAGAATAGAATGATATTTCTTATGTTTTCTCAACAGGATCCCTATGAATATACTTATCCGCCCACAAAAGAAGCTCTCGCCAGTCTTGGTATTACTGAATCCACAAGGTTAGTACAACTTGAATTTTTTCTCGTGCCACAAGCCATTCTGGAAACATAACTGTACAATAACTTTATCTTGGGTTACAGCTACTTCTTAAGTACTTTGAAGTTTTTTGTTTGATTTGTTCTACTTGTATAAAGCAAAGTAACTGCTGCTTTTAGTCTCATATCACATAAATCAACTGGCAAAGGGCTTATAACATGGATCTTCTGGAAGTTTTTCTTAAACCTTTCCGAACTTGCTCAGGCAGTGAAGATACAAACGTAATATTACAGCAGTTTGAGTCTGTTAAACTCGGCTCACTGTTTCCCTGTGCTTCTGAATGTGTTTCCAGGATAAATGTTCGCTCAGTCCGCACAAATACGCACTGCAGACTTACTTTTTAATCGCATATCAATTGTTTTTCCATTCAGCAACAGTACTGAAGATAGCTTTACTGCAAATGGTACTGTCAACCAGAGCAATGATTTTGACGATGACAGCTGTGAAGATGCTCGTGAAGAGGCCCCTCCTTCCAATACAAAGAAGGTACAGAACTTATTCATTCTTTTTAAAGAGATACATAGAACGCATTTCTATTAATTTTCGCAAACTTAAAGCGAAGTTTAATCACAGTTATCACCGGAAACTAGTGAAAACTCGAATTTTTCTGAATGAACAAAAATATGATTTAACTCCTTTATGCATATGGTGCGATCCTTTTTTCCTTCTTGACACCTTTTCTGTCCTCTTCCTTTATTTTCCCTTATTTTCTCCTTCTCCTTCTTTACTGTTTCGCATTCGTCATTTTGAACGTCACGCAATGCTTCCTCGTTCAACGGAGCATAGCGTGACATCTTACCCAAAAGCCGCTGTGAAAGAGCCAATTTCCATCCTTTCCCACACAGTTGTTTTCCTCAGAAAACAGTAGTCCTTGAGCATCACCTTGTGGTTTTTTCCTCTTCACATCAGTTGAATCATTTTCGTGTTTTCTAAGTCTCTCATAACTCACTTTTTACAAATGTACTCTGCCCTTGCAGTCCTTGCATTAATGAGCAGTACTGAACCCTGGGATTTTATTTCCGCTACTTATATTAGGATTATCTTTGTGAGAGATGTGATTCATCTTACATCTACATCTACTTTATTACTATTCAACGCTATTACACATCAACTTAACTTTCAGTTATGGAAAACACCTTCCATAAGGTCAACTTCTTTTTCGTTTTGCTGAAGAAATTCATTCAAGAATTTCTTTGGTGTCGTCTGACTCGTAAATTTTCTGTTTGATAGAGTCCTTGAGATATGAGATTCACAGCAATTAATGTTTAAAAGGAATGTATGTTCTACAAGAGCTTTCCTTGTAAGCTTTCGATTTTTTTCGATTCGTTTTTCCTTGTTATTGCTTTTATTACTTGTAGGTGACGTTCGAGGATGGGCCTGCCACTACAGTCGATCAGAACCTTGAAAATTCAGCTTCTTTGTCGAATACAAAGCAGGTTTGATGTTTTGATCGTTTTTGATCGGATAATTTCCGCTCCTAACCTTGTGACTTAAAGAAGTGATCTATCTGGAATTCCTTTTTGTGAATGGTACAAAATATGGCAAGCTGGCGAGTGATGTGAACTGGGGCGGACCCAGGGGTGGTTCGGGTGGTTTCGTCGAACCCCCTAAATTTTCCCTCAGAACGCTGGAAATCATGTTTCCGAAGAGCTAATTTTCAAAATCTTGGACCCCTCAGAAGGGGAACAATTTTCCGAACCCCCCTTAAACTAAATCCTGGATCCACCTCAGGTGAAAGAGTAAAGTTGTTAGCTTAATAACGTAAATCATAATTATATGGCTGGCTAGGTTTCAAAAGCGTAGGTGTCCTGTTTCGCTGCCCATGCGGCACATAATGGTGCCCCTTAACTTCCGTAAAGCTTGCTTTGTTTTGTTTTTTTCGTTTGATCATTGGTTTGTTTTTTTCCCCTTCAACTCCAAGGAAAGCACGAGTGTCATGAATTTATTTTTCAATTCTCTTTTTACAATTTTTATCAAAATAAATATTTTTACTTCGACCTTTACTTCACGTCCTAAAGTAATCTTGGTTGATATCCAGCTGTGTTGACCTCAGGTTGGATCAATAACAGACTCATTTGTTTTTTTGCGCAGAGGAATGGTTCAACAAAGCTTACATTTCGGGCTGTAAATTCAAGATCGTCGCAGAGACGAGCACCTCCGGACGGCTTTATTAGTACAAAAAATCTACTCACGATTACGTTAGTATTGTTTAATGAACTTTCAGATTCCATGTTGTTGTGAGGCAGTCTTTTCCAGGCTCTCTCAATCTTTGCATCTGTGCTGTGTACCTAGGAATTTCTAAGTTCTTCGTTTTGATGAATTTACTAAGTTTTTATGGATGCACGCGGGAGGTTGCTAAGCACGAAAGAAGCGTAAGAGTCGCTCGAGGCGATAGCCGAGAGCGACTCTAGCTTCTTGAGTGCTTAGCAAACCTCCCAAGTGCATCCATAACTCAATAGTGTACGCTGTGGTGTTTACCATTTGTTTTATAACATAACATTGATACATTGTAGCTAAAGAGTTCCCTTTTATTTAACAAATCTTACGTGACCAGAAAAAACAAGCGCGCGCGGAAAAATAGTCTTTGCATTTGCTCACGTCAGCAGCGTACACCCATGGGCAAATGGGGGACGCTAAATTGACCAATCAGAGCGCGCGCTTTACTTTGGTTATGTTATAATTAAAAAATTAGGCCTCACGGAACAGCGTACGCACGTGAGTTAAGGAAAATTTCAGACATGCGCAGATGACGTCCATTGTTGTGTTTACTTCTCCCCTCTACGCTTTTGAAACTTTACCGTTGAATATCTTATCAAAACACAAAGTCTCTGGTAGTTTAATACTT